AGAAAATCGCCTTTAAAGTTGTCCAAATGAAGTTCTTAGCAATGCATATTACTAATCAAAAATTAAGTTCTGATATATTTACAGTAGGAAATTTACTAAATATCTTCATAGAACATGATCTTTACTTAATATCCTAATGATGTTTGGCATAAAAGAAAAATCTATCATTTTCACCCATACATTGTATTTTTGGCTATTACTACAAATATACCCCAGCGACTTAGTACTGGTTTTGTGCTCCAGGGTCACACACACATATATGTATATGTATATGTAAAGAGTTCATTTGCAAAAAAAATCGATAAACGCCACTTTCAAAAATACTGAGCTGATTGCCGTGCATTATTCTCCACATATAGCGCGATCTGAACCCTAAACACGTTTTGTCAAAAAAGCCGGTTTTGTCCACTTTCAAGGCATCGCGAGTTCACGTTTTACTGCAGAAGCCGACAAGCGTCCTTGTTGTTTTTGAACAGAAGCCGATAAGTCCATTTTAGCGAATCAGCGCGCTGTATTCAGGTCAGAAGACAAGACTACTTTCACTCTGAAAAGAGGTGCTAACTGAGAGGAGTTTCGTCAAAGCTGACTAAAAGTGATCGAGGATCATTTCGATGAACTCGATGAACCTGTGATATCTTCTTCAGGGCGAATAAGGAAAATAAAAGCTGAAACGTTTTCACGGAAGCTTGCAAAAGCAGCGCGTTACAAAGATGAGGGAAAAGCTCTGTGTATTGCCTGTAATAATCACATCCATACAGTTTATGATCACAACAACAACAACGTTTGTCAGGCATCTACACTGTCATCTGAGGAGATTACAAAGATTCAACTAGTGTTTTTTAAACTCTAAAACATGAAATGTGGAGTTACATGCTTTTGCTATAAAACAAACGTTTAATATGTAAAAAAAAAAAACTTTCAATGAACTTTAATTTTGTAAATTACCTGTGTTTAAGGTATTATTACTTAAAGGGGTCATATGATGCTTTTTTAAAGATCATTATTTTGTGTATTTGGTGTAACATAATGTTGACATGCTTTAATGTTCAAAAAACATCCCCTGAAAGGGGAACAGAGTCGCGTGACAGACACAGTGATGAACACACACACACGATGCGCAAAACTCCGCATTTGAACAGTCAATAGCAAATACTTAAACTAATAACAAAACAGTAGCTGATTCAGAAGCTCCAGATTGTCATAGCAAAGTCAGAATTACCTCCTCTCCTAGGTTCACGAAACGGTCATCCATAAAATGCATTGCTGTTCTGTTGTAAGTAATCTTAAAGATTCCTAAATGCATCTACTTTTGGAAGGCCAAATAAAGTGCTTTTGCTTTCGCCCAGAAACACACAGCGTCTCCCTGACATGCTGCTTCAACACTAACTGCGGTTACTGAAACCTCGCCTTCTTTCTTTGCGTGAACATTTGGGCGGCATTATGCTAATATTTCCACATAGTGAGGTAGATATGTGGGGGTGTGTTAGAACGAGCCGTTTTAGGGGGGCGTGGCAGAGTCTTAACTTTGATAAAGAATATCTCTTTGGTTTTGAGACTTTAGTCTTTGCAACTTCAGGGATCTTATCTATGCACAATCAGCTTGTAACACCCCAAAGAGAAAGGAAAACTTGAAATCGCATCATATGACCCCTTTAATCAAAACAACCCAACTGCAGTTTGATTTATATTACTTGGAATACGCAATAAAAAAAACGTGATTTCTGGAAAAAAAAAAATATATATATATATATATAGTTATAGTTTTTTTTGCAAATGAACTCTTCATATACGTTATATATGCTGTTTGTATAATAATGTTTAGAATACTTTTTAGAAATATTAACTTAAATAAATATTAAATTAGTAATAAATATTAAATAAATATAAATGCACATATATTTATATTCACAAATACAAATTTATATCAATAATAATAATAAATCCTGCTTTATTTAATATGTTGTTGCTTAATGTAAATTCTGTAAATACTATGTGATAACTGGAAAATTGTCTATTAAATGCACGTTTTTTTATTAAGTTGAAGCATATACTACTGTCCAGTTTATGGTTTTTCTGTCATGAAACATTTCTACATGATCACTGGAGATATCCAGTGGTGTTAATTCTGTTGCGCAGGTGCTTTCCATTGTGTATGTTTACACACGTCTAAACAGCATGTCGTTCCACACTGAATCCTGTTTAATAGACACATCGCAGTTCTTCAGAGCCTCAGAGGGCTGGAGGTGGAACATGCTGTTTGGATGTATTCACAAAGCAACAGGAAGCAACAAAATGTAGACGTAAACCGTGTGCCGTGGGCTTGTTTGTGATTTGTGAGGCATGTTGAAGGATGTTTGTCGATGTTTCCTCCGTAGATTCCTTCTATGATGTGGTCACAGTAGGAGCTCCGGCAGCCCATTCGCAAGGCTTCAAGAACGGAGGCTTGCAGAAACTGCTCAGCAAATACGAAACCGAGAAGAAGAGGTCAGTCTCCACATGTTCATATGTGCCTCTTCTGATTACTTTGCTCTGGTGATGGAGAATGATTGTCTGAAAGCCTCCATTTGTGGATCAGACACTCGCCAGCTTTCTTCTGTAGAGATATAAACTAGAGAAGTTCACCTTTTAAATCCAAAATATGTTGTTTATGTCATTTGCATGGATACGGTTTTATACAAGATTAATTTGTCAACATGAGACCACCGAGGAGATTTTTTTTCATTTAATGAGATATTATAAATTCATTCAGTCCTTGTCATCCATGTCTTTCCTCTGTGAAACAAAAACAATTATATTTTGAAGAACATTATTTTGAGACCACAGGCTGTCAAGCTCCAAAGCGCTATAAAAACAACATAAATGTAGTACATATTGATGGCGGTGAGTCTCAATATCTTGCACTGAAGCAAATGAGCGTGATTATTTTGCTGGAGAGAAATAAGCCACGTGAGCTGCAGCACATTTAGACGTATTTCTAGGGAATTGTACGAAGGTTGCATCATTCGGAAGCAGAACTCTAATCCACGCGCACATTTGATCTTTTTGAAGTTAATGTTGATGATGGTTTTGCTTTAGGCTCAAATATTTTCCCTCATTAAGGCTCTTTAAATTGATCAATCTGTTAATCCGGTCAAATCCAGGGGTCTCATTTATAAAAACTCTCCATAGATTTCATCCTAAAAGTGTACGTAGGCACAAAAGCTAGATTTTGCGTATGCTCAAAAGTTTTCAGATTTATAAAACCATGCGTAGGCCAGAACCTGCACAAAAATCCTTTTATAAATCCCAGTCAGGGTAAGATTGTGCGTACTCCCCGAAATCACCATATGTGGAGCTTACAACGTCTAGTTTTACTATGCAAAACCTCATCTGCATATCATTTCTATGCATATTCTCATCCACGTGACACCATGTTTAACACTGTCAAAGCCAAAGGTACAAGACATTAAGGAAATATGAGATACGGACTATAAATGCCATTTGTGCCATACACATTGATTTTTATTGCTAAAAATCATCCAGTATCCTTGTTATGTTTTGGAATAAATATATCACAATATCCATAAAAAACTGTTTAAAATAGTTCTCAGGAAAATTATTTAGAATAGAGTTGATCTCATTCATTTCCACTGGCCCAATAATATTTCAATTGTTTTTAAAAATTCAAATGAAATTAAATTAATGCGGTTTTGCTGATAAGGTGAACATCTTTTAGCTATCTTTTAGTGGAAAAAATATAGGCCTATATTTATTGCAGTGTAAATACAATAATCTGACGTCATTGACAAATTATTTTAAAAAGGAAACGTGCAAATCTTACTGTTTTCTTCAAGTTGTATCCTTCAGATACAGTGGTATTTTTCATAATGTTGTGGAGATGCCTTCACACGACATCAACACTTCCGTGCAGCTGTGGTTGTACAGTAAGCTATTATCATTGGACCTATTCAAACCGGACAATAGACCGTTCCACCGAATCCAGCAGTGTCCGCCACTGCTGTCACTGTGTGATGAATGATGGATGATATATTTTTATTTTGATTCCTCAAGCTTTGATTCCACTTGAAAAGCGAATGTGAGCCCTTATCCGTCATCGATGCTGAAAGAAGTCTGGACTTACAGTTTATCCAGGTAGACACGGTGTCAGTTGCCTGTTACATTACAGTAAATCAAATTTCACTTACCACATAAACAGAGTAAGGAGAGATGACTGAGGACTATGGCGAATGATTTGCAGATCCTGAGCACCACTGACAAACATCTAATCTTATAAAATGTGTGGTTAAGTACTGCCGCTCCATAGTATAAACCGACTACGTGCAATCGTGAATCTCGAAAGTGAAAGTGAAACTAAAAAGCGATCGTGCATTCAAAAGCAGTTTCAATGCCAGGCATAATAGCGGCTCCCTGATGCCGAAATATATGTAGTATAATTACCCACTGATATAACTGCGAGGGAAAATATTGAAATATATATTTTCCTCCCATCTTATATTTATTCCCTTTAGGGGTTCCGTATGCATGTCATTTTCTTTCCGAACATGGTATTGGGATGCGGTGGATTGCGGGGGGTATGGGAGGGGTGGCTCACGATGCCAGCTTAACATCGTGATGTCTATCAGCCATCGGCGATGGACGATGGCATCGTCTATGGGCCCAACCCTAGTTGCAAGATAGAAGAAAGTGTTTTGGGTGTTTGTGCGTGTGCACTGTTAACTTGCTAACATGTTGCTATGCGGATTCTAAGGGTGGTGTAGGTGGTCGCTAGGGTGTTGCTATGTGGTTGCTAAGACGTTTTGAGTGGTTTTCAGTGTGTTGTGCAGTAATTGTGAATTTTAAAGTTTTCTGAGTGGTTGCTAGGACATACTGGTTGTTGCTAGGTGGTTGCTTGGATGTACCTAGTGGTAGCTAAATTGTTGATAGGTGGTTGTTGTGGGTGTTTGTTTGTGTGTGTTCCTGTGCAGTTGCTAGGGTGTTTTAATTGATTGTTAACATGCTGCTATGTGGATTCTAAGGCATTCTAGGTGGTTGCTAGGTTTTTGCTAAGCATTTTTGGTGTTTGTGTGTGTTAGGGCTGCACAATTATGACAAAAATCATAATTGTCGATTATTCCCTTGAAATTCTAATTGCGATTATTAATTGCGATTATCACAATCTACATTGAATGATGTTTACACCATTGTTTGAAGCAACTGCACGCCATATTTTATATGAAAATAAACAAGCTGAAAACACTCTAACTGAAAACCTTTAGTGCTTTTCTATAGTATTAAGCCTCAAATGTCAAATATACATTGGATTGGTTTCTTAAATAAAAATAAGCATGATATTATAATGTTATACTAAAACTAAAATTAAAACAATGGAAAACCCTTAAGATAACCTGTAGCAAGAAAAAAACACATCTTAAGCATGCAGAATAACATAAGTGGACTTTAAACGATTAATTGCACCTTTGAAAATGTAATTGTGGCATCCATAATTGTAATCACAATTAGAAATTTGATTAATTGTGCAGCCCTAGTGTGTGTGTGTGTGTGTGTGTGTGTGTATGCTATGGTGTTCTAAGCAGTTGTTAACATGTTGCTATGCGGATTCTAAGGGTGGTGTAGATGGTTGCTAGGGTGTTGCTATGTGGTTGCTAAGATGTTCTGAGTGGTTTTCAGAGTTTTGCTATGCATTTTTGCAGTAATGTGTTGCTATGTGGATTCCAAAGTGTTCTGAGTGGTTGCCAGGGTGTTACTAGGGCATACTGGGTGTTGCTAGGTGGTTGTAAACACGTTCTGGGTGTTTGTTTGCTTGTGTTGCTATGCAGTTGCTAGTGTATATTAATTGATTGTTAACATGTTGTTGTGTGGATTCTGAAATGTTTATTTGAATTATTTTACTTTATAATTATTCAAAGTAAATATTTATAATTAATACATATTTCATATTTTTAGTAAGTGTTTTTTCTGATTGTTGTTATTTTAAAATTATTTATTTTAATTTTAAATTTTTATGATTAATTAATTATTAGCTTTTCATTAAACTTACAAACCCCAGTTTGGAAAACCTCTATGTAATCTAATGTTTAATGCACTTAATGTTGATAATAACAATAAATGGAATATATTTTCTTTCTCTTTGTATTTTTATATCTATATGGTACGAGATTTTTCCATTTAAATCAATGTGATGAATGAGTTAGGTCAAAAGTAATCTAAAAGTAATCAAAAAGTAGTAGTCTGTAGTAGTAGTCTGATTATATTACCTAAAATGTGTAATGTAATAGATTACGTTACTAACTACAATTGTTGTCCTGTAATTTGAAATCAGTAACAGACTACAATTTGTAATTGATCTACCCAGCACCGTTGGTTGTTAACATGTTGCTAAATGGATTCTAAGGTGTGATTGCTGATGTGGTCTAGATGGTTGCTTATAGTACAGTACATGGTCTTTATCTAGTCTTTTTAGCAGCAGTCTTGCTTGAAATATATCATAATTTGGGCTAAAACCACTTTGCAAGTCTGAATGTGCAATGATTGTACTGTCATGAAGAGTAATAAGTGTTCACTTTCAGCCACAAGTTCAGCTTTAAATTGTTGCGGTAGGATAAATTCCAAGCTGTTGGTGGAATATACAGTAACAGTGGTCTTGTTGTTTCTCTCTCTGGAGTCCTTAATGACTTTAATAACTTCAGAGTCTGACATTTCCCCAGTTGGATCCCGTTGGCACAACTCTGGAGTCTCTCCTGACATGTCTGTTGCTCTGAAATGAATTGTGACCATCTCTTTCTGCCTTAGTCGTCCATCTCCCACTCCTTCTCCTTCATATTCTGTTCGTTTTGTCCTCACAGAGATGTTTAATTAGAAAGCCTGTGTCTTGACTGTCATTGATGCGGTTTATCTGTCCTTGCCGTCACACCAAGCATTTCAACGATGAGTGTTTTCTATTCTCAGCCCTCTGAAGAAGAAGGAAAAGCATGTCATGTCATCTCAGCCCCCTTGTTGTTTCCATCAGTAAAGAGCTCCTCAAGTTTCTCTTATTCAGTTCTTTGCATTTTTGTACTTTGTGAATGATCACAGCTGGCTTTTGTGTAAGCAGTCGAGTCTCAGGGGGCGAGTTTGTCGTCATGAGGCCGGTCGTGTGAATGTGCCCATTTTTTTATCATTTGAGATACACTTCTCTCAAACCCTCTGAGAACAGACTCATTAAAAGCCAAGCAAAGTCAAATTATTTTCTTTACACTGCCTGGGTTTTTATGTTACTGAGCCAGACCAACAGAGGAATACTAGTGCAAAGAAATTGAACAGCTTTTCAAAAAGTTTCCAGCCTCCAGTGGTGGGAAGATTTATCGGTGGAGCACGTCACTGATACGAGACAAGGACATTTGCTGTTTCTACCGGAGAGAAATCAATTTCTGAAAGAGTGTTTGCACTGCACATTAATCCAGGCTGATATGGACCTCATTTTGTTTTCTTTCCGACTTGGCTAATGT